CCAAGAAGTCGCCATAGGTATGTATTAATTTTTAATTAAACAATCTATACCATTTTCGATGCTTAACAAGATTTTTAAACGGAAAAAGCAATGTGCTACCACTTGGGTTATTCACAGGAAAGCTTATACTGCAAGTGAAATTCGGCCGATGTCATTTTTGTCTATGCGATTTAGTTACAATTTCAATATGTTAAGTACGGAATTTAATTACGTTCAGGGAGTTAATTTGCGCATATCTACCAGTAGAGTACTTAAGCGGCAAGTCTTACCTACGCTGGTCTGCGGCTGTGTCGTGCACGCCGACTGTGGCATCACTGTCACGTTGCAATTACATGGGGGGCACGTCGACGTTGTTCTTGCGGTCGTCGGTTGCGGTTGCGGTTGCGGTTGTTGCGTTGCGGTTGTTCTTGCGGTCGTCGTTTGCGGTTGCGGTTGTTGCGTTGCGGTTGTTCTTGCGGGCGTAGCATCGCTGAGAGCCAGCACTGCCAGCGCTGCCAGCAAAGACCAGATGACAAACATCCTCATCGTCAATGACATGGTTCCCTTAAGATGTCAGCCGTCACTTATATAGGAGTGTTTCACGTGACGTCATAGATCAGGTCACGTGTATTTGTTATGTGTCATGATTGGCAGAAGCGAAGCGTGCTGCTTGACATTTACAGATGAATGACCACATGTTCTGATAGAAAGCGCTGTTTATGTAGTGCACGTACACGTGCGTGCTGCGTGCGTGCGTGTGCACGTACACGTGCGTGCTGCGTGCGTGCGTGTGCACGTACACGTACGTGTGTGCGGGCATGCGTGTGAACTTACACGTGCGTGCGTGCGTGAGTGTGCACGTACACGTTCGTACGTTCGTGTGCACGTACACGTGCGTGCGTGCGTGTGCACGTACACGTGCGGGCATGCGTGCATGCGTGTGCGTGTGCGTGCGTGCGTGGGCAGGTACACGTGTGTGCATGAGTACGTTGGTGTGTACGTGCGTGCGTGTACAGACCTGTACACTTCCTTTTGTGCATGCATGTGCACGTAGACGTGCGTACGTGCGTGTGCACGTACAACTGCGCGCATGCATGCGGGCGTGCGTGTGTATGTAAACGTGCGTGCATGCGTGCGTGTGTGCGTGTGTGTGTGTGCGTGCGTGTGTGCGTGTGCACGTATACGTGCACGCGTGCGGGCGTGAATGTGTGCGTGTACACGTACACGTGCGCGCGTGCGTGCACGTGTGTGCGTGCGTGTGTACGTACACGTGCGTTCGTGCGTTCGTGCGTGCGTGTGCACTTACACGTGCGTACATGCGTGCGTGCGTGCATATGCACGTACACGTGCGTGCGTGCGTCCGTGCGCGTGTGTACCTACGCGTGCGTGCATGCGTGCGCGTGCACGTACACGTGCGCGCATGCGTGCCTGCGTGCGTGTGCACGTACACGTGCGTGCGTGCGTGCGTGCGTGTGTGTGCACGTCCACGTGCGTGCGTGCGTGTGTGCGCGCGTGTGCATGTGCACGTAGACGTGAGTGCGTGCGTGCGTGCGTGTGCACGTACACGTGCGTGCATGCGTGCGTTCGTCCGTCTGCACGTACACTTGCGTGCATAAGTGTGTGCGTGCGTGTGAACTTACACGTGCGTGCATGCGTGCGTGCGTCTGTGTGTGTGCACGTACACGTGCGTGCGTGCGTGCGTGTAAACTTACACGTGCGTGCATGCATGCGTGCGTCCGTGTGTGTGCACGTACACGTGCGTGCGTGCGTGCGTGTGTGCGCGCGTGTGCAGGTACACGGTCGTGCGTGCGTGCGTGCGTGCGCACGTACACGTGCGTGCATGCGTGCGTGCGTACCCAGCAATAAAAAATAAGGAAGGAAACAATAATAATAAAGACAAAAAGCAAAGAAAAACAAAACGTTCAAAAGGTAACAAAAGTATCTATACTAACTTCAATATCATTTACGCTAACACAAGAGGGATACGGTCAAAAAATGATAGCCTAATGGACTTAATAGAAAATAAAACACCATCATTAATTGCAATAGTAGAAACACACCTAACCAATAATGAAACGGTAAACATACCACGTTATGATACTTATACAACCAATAGAACAGATAAAATGGGAGGAGGGATACTCCTAGGGGTAAAGAAGCAGGTAACAGTGTAACAGTGTAACAATGTAACAATGTAACAATGTAACAATGTAACAATGTAACAATGTAACAGTGGGGATAAAAGAGGTTAGAGAAGCAGGAGAACAAAAATGGGTACAAATAGATAACAAGAAAATTAAATTTAGACTAGGAATAATCTACGGACCACAAGAGTCCAGAACACCACAAGAAGAAATCAGTAAAATGTTTGAGGCTATTGAAGAAGAAGTAATAAAAACCGACCAACAAGACCAGATGTGTATGATAATAGGGGATTTTAATGTTAAAGTAGGAGATATAATTCCAGGGAATAAGAAAGAAACATCAAAGGGAAGACAAAAATTAGTAAACATGGTCAAAAGAAATAAACTAATCATGTTGAATCAGACGCAAAAATGTGAAGGGAAGTGGACAAGGGTCCAGGGTGAACAAAAATCTATAATTGATTACGTGATCATTGATAGGGAATAACAAAAATGAAAATTGATGAAGATAGGGAGTGGGGCCTGTGCAGGTATGAAAATAGGGATGGAAAAACAATCGCGAAATACAGTGATCACAATATTATAGAAGTAAATATTAATTTCCAAATAAAGATCGAGACTAAAGAAATCAACCAAAAGAGCCAATTTAATATTAGGAGCCAAAAAGGTATTAACAAATAAAAAAAAGCAACTGATAACAGCAAATTTGCTAAAATATGGGAAGAAACAGGTAGCCTCAACGAGAAATATACTAAATGGACAAAGATTATAAAACACAAAATATCTTAATGCTTTACTAAGCCAAGAGAAAGAAGTGGTTCCAGGATAAGCAAGGAAATCAAGCAACTATTCGATATTAAGCGACGTTTAAAAAAAATCCTGAGTAAAGCCAAACAAGACAATAATAACCAATTGAACAATATGGCAAGTGAAAGAATAAGACTGATAAATAATCGAATAGGAGTACAACAACAAGTGGAACGAAAATAGAAACTCTACATGCAATTAGGAGAACTAAAGAAACAGGGAGGGATAAATTCGGGCGGTTTCTGGAAAATACGTAAAAGAATGCTACCAAGCAAGGAAATGAAGGCTTCCTGTTTAGCCAAGAGAGATGATCCTAACACTAACCTAGAAAAAGCGGACGAAATAAAGCAAGCCTACGCCGAGTATTTTGAAGAACTCTTAAGAACCAAACCCCCCAAGAATGAGTTGGAACTGGGAATTATTATTAATGAATCAGTAGAGAAATCTTTCCAAAGAATAAGAACCCTAAATATAAAAATAATACAAGAGAATACCGACAATAACGAAATTCAGCAAGTAATTGATACGCTAAAATGCAAAGAAAAGCGAGAGATAACCAAGGAATGGTAAACGAACTGATGATGAGTGGAGGTAGAGAAATAATAACATCATTGAAAGTAATTGTGAATTCACTACTCCAAGGAGCAATGACACCAATACAGTGGAATTTAATGTTAATAAATAAAGGCTGTGTATAAAGGGAAAGGGTCAATAAGAGACCTAAATAACACAAGAGGTATTTTCCTCACAAACATCATAAGCAAAATAGTTGAAAAATGGATATGGAAACGTAAACATAAAACCTTAGATGCTTGCAAAATCCAATGTGGGGGTAAAAAGGGATACAGCACAACTGACAATTTATGTGTACTGAGAGGGATAAAATTGACAAACATAGAGAACAAAAGAAAAACATTAGTCTACTGTTTGAGAACATCAAAAAATGTTTCGACAGCCTTTGGCTTAAAGATTCGATGGTGGAGCTTTGGTACAAAGGGCTGAGGGGGCCCCTGCTGGGACTTATTCTTTAAAATGAATGAAAGGGCATTAATCACAGTTAAAACACCGGTAGGGGAAACAGAAAGATTCGAAACAAAAGAGATAGTTCGCCAGGGAACTATTTTAGGATCCATATTATGTTGTATGACCTTAGATCATATAAATAATTTAACTAAATCAGTATATATGTATGGCAATAATATAGAAATTGGTCCACTTTTATATATGGACGACATTCTCTGAATTGGGGACCACATAACGATAGCTAAAATAGCACAAGCGTGTTCAAGGTTAGCCATAGCAAAAAGGTTAGAATTTAATATAAATAAAACCAATATAATGGTAGTTAAATTTGGAAACAAAGATAAGATGGAGAAAGACGTACTACTAGGTAACCAAGTAATTAGAAAATGCTCTAAATACACATACTTAGGAGATTTAATAAACGAGAAAGGAGGTTATATACAGATATGATTAAAGCCAGAACGGAAAAATGCCGATACATAATGAGAGAAATTATATCATTGACTGATGAGCAAAACTATAGAAAATATACGATAGAAGCGAGAGTAAAACTATACGAGTGCACGGTGCAACCCGCCTTCTTAAATAATAGTAAAACTTGGACAAACCTGACCAAGGAAAAAGAAAAAATGTTAGAAGACTTTCAAAATGAGTGCTTACGCAAAATTCTAAAAGCACACAGTAAAACACCGCTAGAAGCTTTGTGAATAGAGCTAGGTATTCTACCGATATTAGACAAGATAAATTACAAAAAACTCATGCTTCTACAATTCATAGTTAATTTGGAAAATAATAGATTGATGAAAAGAGTTTACATACAACAGACTAATGAGGGAGAAAAAATTGGGCAAACGAAACCTCGGAAATTTTAGACAACTATGATTTAGGAATATCACTCACAACCATCGGAATAAAAACAAAGAAAGCCTGGAAAAACCAAGTAAAACAAGCTATTTTTAAAAGTGTAATAACAAGAGATAAAATGAAAACCAAAGGAAAAACAAAAATGAAGATGATAAACATTGAAACATACGGATTGAAGGAATATATGAAAGAATTATCATTTGCCGACTCGTGTTTTGCATTTAAATGTAAAATTTGCATGATTAAGCTCAAATGTTACTTTAGAAATAACTTCAGTGACGACAGGTGTAATCGATGTAATAAGAATATGAAAGAGGACTTGGAACATTTATATAATTGTGATAGCTATAATAGATATAAGGATGGGGAACAAATAGACGGCTGGAGAGGGGACAAACACGGGTTATTGAAACCAGAGTTAGGGTATGTGCGGAAAATTCTGGTGATTCGAAACACTAATATTTAGAGAATTAGAGGCGGTAATAATCTTCTGTTTCTCTAAATAATCCCCGCACTTCGATGAAATCACGAGTGCCTTGTGAAATACAAGAGAGGGAGCCAAGATACAAGATACAAACAAGCAAGGTGCAACCACTTGTGCTATTCCCGGGGAAGTTGCTACTGCACGTAAAATTCGCCCGATGTAATTTTGGTTTATGCGACTTAGTTACAATTTCAATATGTTAAGTACGAAATTTAATTACGTTCAGTGCGTTAATTTGCGCATATATCTACCAGTAGAGTATATACTTAAGCGGCAAGTCTTACCTACACTGGTCTGCGGCTGTGTCGTGCACACCGACTGTGACATCCCTGTCACGTTGCAAATACATGGGGGGCACGTCAACGGTTGTTCGCTTTCGACGTTGGGTGCAGCATTGCTGAGAGCCAGCGCTGACAGCAGAGACCAGATGACAAACATTTTCGTCGTCAATGCCATGGTTCCCTCAAGATGGCAGCCGTCAACTTTATATATAGTAAAGGTTGTAAGTGTAGTGAAGCGATAATTATGTGATTCGAATGTAGACGCACGCCGGTCGCAGGGACACGCCTCGGACACTTTTGGTCACTCGCTTCGTTAGAGGCAGTTCGATACTTGTACAACCAGGTACGTAGATCCGGGTAGGACAAAAGACACTATCCTCCTCTTGCTAAAAAGAGCGAAAAAATATTGAAAAAATATTCATGGTGAAATTATACATGTGACTAGCTAAGGATGCACCGTATGCTAATTCTACTGCGTCGACGAACACCCGGACCTGTGAATGCAGAATTCGGAAAAGACCAGACGTGCGCATTTAAATAACATAGTGTCGATTACACGTATATGTACACGTGAATGAGACGTGATTGCTAGATGTTCGACACGTTGTTAGAGGAGAACATGTACACGTGTACGCAATATGGTCCCACACGCGGGTAGAATGATATGACGTCACCTTGTTAGTTGTATATATATATATGACCACACCGGGGAAGTGAGAGAGCTCTCCCTATGTGCGCACATATATTCTCACGGTGTTGGAAAGACTGACGGACAGACGGACAAACTCAGAGACTGACGGACGGACGGACAAACTCAGAGACTGACGGACGGACGGACAAACTCAGAGACTGACGGACGGACGGACAGAGTCATGTGTTAGACTACTACATTTCTGGACTCTTGCTCACGTGTGTGTCGTGAGCAACAATAAATTCTTGTGCGTGGAAGCTCACTTTTAGACTTATGAAATTATTTGTGTTATCTTCGTTGTTACTCGTTGCTGCGCCTCACCAGACACAGGGGAACTAGCTGGCTTATCCTTCAAGGCGGAAACGCCAACACGAACTGACCGGGGTTTGGAACTTTATAAATTCATACAATCACATAATTACTACAAATCAAGAAATACACAACGTAAGGTTCAGGACAGTAATACGATCACGTACCTACATACAATCGGGCATCTCCCGGCGTATCTACTCGAACTGAAACTCAAAACAACATCATTTTAAATTCCCGAATTAGTAAAACCGTGAATGATGAATACACTGAGCTGGCATGACTGTCAGAGAATGCGTATGCTGCAAGAAGAGCCGACGTGTCGTAAAAAATGGAGCAAGATGCAGCGAATCCACCCCGTGAAGTATTTATATTCGCAAATGACTGCTAGTTTTCCAGTTGCTATAATGCGCGCAGCCGAGAAATTAGTTCCCAAATAAACGTCATCCGTGTGACGTCACGAGAGACGTGTTTTTCACATAGTTCCTTTACAATATCGCGTTAAAAATATGTTTAGAGCGTTTCATAAATATTTTTACTGATGCATATAATTAAAAAATAACATAGCTACACATTACAAGGTTTAACATGCGTACTTTTGGGCGTTCGCATATAGGCTTTAACTATATTTTGTAATATGAAGAAATCAACTGTATGGCGCTACTTTGTTGGTAGAATAACATAAATTTATTAATTTACACTGTTTGCATCCATGCCTAGTGATTATATCAGGAGTGTATCAATTTGCTGGAGTGTATCAATTTGCAGGAGTGGATCATTGATACACTCCTGATTATATCAGGGCTTAATAATGACAAATCTATTATTATTAACCCCTGATTATATGTATATATATATTTATTAATATTTATTTTTATATTAGTATATAAATAATATATTTATCCATTGCATAACAGAACATGCAATTATATATTATTATTCTAATAATAATTGTTCATTTTATTTCATTTTGGAATAAATGCGTCCTGCCGACTAAAAACTACTAAAACAAATATCGACGTCTATGTGGCGACATCTAACGTATGAGCGCGACTCTAGGCAGACTAACAAAAAACAGTATCTGTTATAGAGAACATACTATAGTATCTATGTGAAAAGACAACATGAATGATCCTGGGAATGATAATTATCAGGAGTGGCAGCCTGGCAGGTTTTAATAAAACGCATTTTAGTTTTAACGTAATCAGTGGGGTATTTTAACGATGCTCCTTCCACCTTTTTCGCATTGCGACCGTTGTCGACGAACTCGTTTGTAAGAAATGCTGACGTCATAGTAGGGGTAGGGATACGGAATTATGGAGCTGGGGACACATATAATTAATCCACCAAGTGCTATAAACATCCAGGAAGCATTTGCGAATAACACGTCATTATTAAGGGCATGCACGCTACGTACGGCTGATTTAAGGGTACGTTAATTGTCGCTATCACGTATATTGAATATCACCATAGATATATAATAGATATTATCAGGAGTGTATAATAGGATAGGGTATTATACACTCCTGATATTATATCTCTATTCTATATCTGTAATGTTACAAGGGACCTGGTGGAATCGTTTGGCGCTGCACGTACGCGTTATAAGGTTATTTTTCTAAAAAAAAAGTGTTATTAGTTAAAATGATTTTTAAGCAAAAATATAATATGACAGTATATTAAAATTAACAATGTATATGCAATAATTAATGTCAGTGGCTTTGTATTTTCTTAAAATAGCCACTAGCTGCATATATATAATCAAGAATCCATATAATAGAGAGAAATAGTCTTTATTATGGACTCTTGATATAATTTATGGTAACTTTCAACTCATAGTAGGGTTGCTAATTAATTGAGATTGATTTCCAGCTGTAATACCCATAGAAAATCAATATACGTTATATTCGTAGTATATGTATCTTTAGAACACTACGGCGCGCGCGTACGCTATTACGTACGCTGATACTAACTTTATCGGGAGTGAATAATAGAGATTCTATTATTCACTAGAATTCACTTATTCAATAGAGACTCTATTATTCACTCCTGGCTGTATGTATAGCACTATGCGTGTGACATTTTATTTATTTCTGATATGTGTGTACAGTGGCGAAGACAGGTCCTCAGTTGTGGGTGGGATTATTCGCTGTTACTTCCATCGCAATGTATATGAAGAGTGTGCGCGAGTAGCGCACACCGCGAGCGCCTTGGCGCAAAGCCCTTAATGGGTGGGGTCAGCCCGCCCTAGGGCCCCTGGCAGGGCGCAGGGGCAGAGCCATTGCCCGGGGTCCAGGGGGCGGAACCCTCGGAAGCTCTTGGATTTTAGCAATTTAGAACCTTCAAGATGGCCGTTTTTGAGGGAATTGAAAAAAATTGATATTGTATAAGTACAATTTTGTGAATTCTAGGGTAATTTTTTTCTTTAGATCCCAGAGGTTTAATAACACGCACCCCCCCCCCCCCCCCCCTACACACACACAACCAGTGGCGGATCCAGAATAACATTCTGGGGGGGGGCGTCAGGGGGGGCGAATCATGCGAGCTCAAGGGCACGGAACGGCGCCGGGGGGGGAGGGCGTGAGAGGGAGTGTCCCCTCCCACTGTGCATAAAATTGTTAAAAGTTGCAATCTAAAAGATATCAATTTTTGGACATCTTTATCATTAGAATTATCAGGTTTTTTCCATCCTTCAGGGCTGCGTGTCCCCGCCTGTTTAGGGAGGGGTCGGGCGATTTTGTTGAAAGTAATCACGGTACCTCTTTCGATGCAATTTTTTGCACTATGAGGGCAGCATATTAAACAATCTTATTCACAATAACATCACTGTTGGTGGAGATTTTTATTTTGGGGACACCAGACTAAAAATCTTACTACCAAACTGTGCTTAATGTAGGCCCCCTACATGTCCTGCACTGGGGTTACACGTCAAGACTTACCTAGACTAAAATACTTTTGCCCCTGAAAATTCTAGGAGGGGGCGGACCCGACCCGTCCGTCGACCACGCCCGCCCGTGCTACCGACCCCCCCCGTTGACAACTTACAGCCACTTTGGAATCATCTTCGCCCTGAAACATTTTTGATAAACGCACTATTTTACTGAGAACGTATAAAATGCCTCAAAAAATATAGAGAAGAAACAACCAGCATTTGAAGCAAAAAGTCGCACATTTTAAACCCTTATACAAAATCGAGAATATACTTCAGGTCTTCAGCCAGCCCCATCACCCCCAAAAAAAGTAAATCTG